CAGAAACAATGGTGTTCATGTTGGCTTAGAAGTCAATTCATCGCTGGTATGTTGACAACTCAGGCCAGCGAATCCTGCAATGCATCGGTGCGACATTTTCTGAAACCGAACCATCAGCTGGATCAGTTTTTCATACATTTTAACAGGTGTAATGTTATTGTTTTCGGAAATACTACATACAATATTGTTGAATATGCTCTATAGTAGTCGAGAATATTAATTTGTATGTGTCAGAACAAAAGCGTGCAATCGATAATCCAAACCAACACGAACGAACACAAATTTAACGTGGTTCACTAACACAATGTGTGCTAGCTAATCCACGGGCAGAGGGGAACAAATTTCACTGATTTGAGTAGAGTACAGGTTACAAACCAAATTCCAAACGGACAAACCAAACAAACTAACCTGACTGACCTTACTACAGACTAGGGTGATTAAGAGTATTTATAGAACTCTTCTCCTAATCCCAAACAGAAAACCAAATACCTTTTTCCCAAACATACAAGGAAAAGGTCAAAACAAAGCTCAAACACAAACCCAAACAAAATAGGCCCAAACACAAAACAAATCCAAATCAAATTCAAGTCATATTCTAACAATCTCCACCTTGACTTGAATTCTCTCTCAAATACCAAATGTACCAGACACAACCAAAGTTTCCAAATGTACCCAACCGCGATACATATCGTCAGACGTATCCAAATGCGATCGAAACCGCCAAACTCAAACGCGATGCAAAATCGCCAAACTCATATGCAATCAAAATTGTCAGACGTATCCAAATGTGATCCATATCAGCTATACCAGAATCTCCCCTGCCTCCAGATGCCCCTAAGGGCGGTCAACAAATCAAAACATGCAGCAAGTCTAACCCATTTTGGGACTTGCCATGCAGAACCAGCTTGGTGTTATTTCCGTCCATAACACCAACATCAAATTTACTGCTAACTCCAAGCCTGCAGCTCCGAATTGATTTCTCAATCTTCAAATCCCTAAAAAAACATCCTTGGTGATCGAAAACCCTAATCACCACCAAGGATAACAAACAGAATTGTCCTCGAACAACAAGCTATTACTTGAATTTGAGGAAAAAAGATACAAGGAGAGGATTCTTGACTTTGAATCCATTGATCAGGTTCCTGCCATCTCCTCACCATTCAACAAGATCCTCAAACAAGTTGCAGAGATTTACACTCCTCGCATGCATAGAAGGTTGGAAGAACAGTATCAACAAATGGAAGAGTACGAATTAGAGTCGCACTCCAATGGTAGGGACGACGGATTTATTGGGTACACAACATTCTACACAAAAAATGACGCCCGTTGGGATGAACGTGTTGTTTTCGTTGATGTGGCAAATGCACAGCTGGAATGTGGTTGTATGCTATTCAATTCCATGGGAATTATATGTCGCCACATCCTCAAGGTGATGGTCCACCTTGGAAATTTTGGCAATGCCACCATGAAAACCCTGTCAGAACATTTTATATTGAAGAGATGGACCATACATGCCTAGAAGAAAAAGATCGGTGAATCCTCCACAAGTTCCAGGACGGATGAGGCTCCATACACTGCCAACATCGCAGGTAACACCACAACATTGAGATATAGAGAAACCACTGTCATGTTGAATAAGCTTGCCACAAAACTGTCTGTTGCTGATGATGGAGTGTATGAGAAGTGGATGAAAGCACTATCTAAAATGTGCAAGTCGGCAGACCATGCCTTGTCCCGATCCATAACAAGTGAAACTAGCAACCATCAAATCAAAGGATTCTTGACTTTTGCATTGAATATTACATACTTTACTACTGAATATGACTTGTCTTATATCAGGGGGGGTCTCAACCATTAAATGGCCTGACCATGAAGCAAAAAGTTAATCCACGGAGTCATGGTCGTGAAAGGTACAAGTCCAGAAATGAGAAAGCTCGCGGTAAGAAGAAGATTCAGTATGCCAAGCAACTAAAGGACTTGGAGATTCGGTCGCAAGTTCCCGATTCTCAACGTGGAAGACCAAACATGGATGACGAAGAGGACCTCATGGATCTGCTTGCATCGTAGTTGGTTGGATATGTCTTTTTGGGAAATCAATTTTGATATGATTTGTAATACGATAACGTATCATACTGCAATTGGTTGAACTAATATTCAGGGCCCTGCGAGCTTCTATTTAGCAACATGAAACGTTATTTTGTAGTAATATGCACATTCTTGTGAACGCATATTACGTTTGTTGCGAGCTACTATTCAGCCTGGATGAAATGTTATTTTGTACTAATATTCAGGGCCTTGCGAGCTTCTATTTAGTAACATTCAAAGTAATATTCAAATAACCTAGACTCATATTCATAAAAACCATAGTCATATTCAAAAATAACATAAACTATAATCAAAGACATTCAAAGTAATATTCAAATAACCTAGACTCATATTCATAAAAACCAGAGTCATATTCAAAAATAACATAAACTATAATCAAGCTCATTCGAACTAATATTCAAACACATTCAAAGTAATATTCAAATGACCCAGACTCATATTCATAAAAACCATAATCATATTCAAAAATAACATAAACTATAATCAAGCACATTCGAACTCATATTCAAACACATTCAAAGTAATATTCAAATAACCCAGACTCATATTCATAAAAACCAGAGTCATATTCAAAAATAACATAAACTATAATCAAGCACATTCAAACTCATATTCAAACACATTCAAAGTAATATTCAAATGACCCAGACTCATATTCATAACTCATATTAAAAAATAATTAGGGGAGGTCAAACCCAAAATAATTACACCTCCATACATGACTTGCACCCCCAAAATAATTTATACTGTCCCCCATAAATAATTACCCAAAATAATTACTCAACCTGATTAGAACACCTAAATAGGGGAGGTCAAACCCAAAATGATTACACCTCCATACATGACATGCACCCCAAAATAATCCCCCCTGTCCCCCATAAATAATTACCCAAAATAATTGTTTTTAGTACTTAGTTAGTAGGCTACCAACACTCACATCTTATGTCTCTTACTACCTCCATCTTGCCCTTCCTTCCACTCTTTCACCCACTTCAGTATATCATCCCTCAAATTCTTATCATACAAATGATTTTGTATGCAGTGTAACACCCTGGTATTTTAGATTTAGGTTCGATTTTAATACTTGATCGGTTGGATTGACGGTTACGTACTAAGAGTTACAATTACGGATTAAAAATAATAATATTATAACATTATTATTCTTACTCTATTATTATTATTATAACATTATTTTGTAAAAAAAAAACAAAATGGGGCGGCCAGAGAGGGCCGGCCCCTCTATCCAAACCCCAGCCGCCATAAAACCAAAATTCCCCACCAACCATTATTTTTTGGCCCAGAAAACATTTTCCCCAGCCAAAAAAACCCCTCCCTGCCACAAAACCCTTTCCCCAGCAAATTTCCCCAGCAGCGCCGCACGAAAAAAAACCCCAGCCGGTTCCTAGACAAATCAGCGCAAGGAAGAAGAAAGGGAGCCGCCGCTTCCCAATCCCGATCCCAATTCCGACCCCATCCCTTTCGTTCTAGGTAATGATCACGAACGCGCGATCTCTAAACTCGATTTACCGATAGTCTAATCTGTAGCTCGTATTTTTATTAGCGGTGACGTTGAGGGTTCGATCAGCGAGGAGATCAACGTCCCGGGTCATCCAATCTAGGCCTAGGCACGTTCTAGAGGTAAGGGGACTCGATCCCTTTGAGTTAGATCGATCGATTTGGTGATTTTTTGTGAGGGTACAATTCTGAGGTTTTAACAACAGACGTTCAGGCTTTTAGTGACAGGATTTGGGTGGTCACTAAAGCTGCTGGGAATTTTCAGAAACTTGTTTTAGATGTTTTTAATTATTTCGAGTCTTTATGGGGTTGGTTCTTGAGTTTAAATTTTTTAAAAATTGAGGCAGGTCTAGGAGATGTTTGTGATTTAATTTGGGGATTTTTGAAGATATATTTCTATTTTTAGAAATTGTTCTAACATTCGTTTTAATTAAAAAAAAATATTTTCGAGGAGTTTATAAGGGTTTGATAATTTTTCAGGGTATAAATACTCATGATTGATATAGAAAAATTATTATTCGAATTTTTAAGAAGGTTCAAGTTAGGTGGAAAATTCGTCCAAGATAAAAATAAATAAGAAAAATGGTCGTTTTTGAAGGGATTAATTCTAGAAAATTTTAATGGGGGTTAATTGACCCTTGGAATGAGGTTCAAGGACTGGAGTTTGAGGAGATGATGTTCTAGTGATTCAAAAGGGGTTTTAAATCAAGAAAGGTCGTCTAAGAAAATTGATTTTTATTAATAGGTTTCTCCAAGATAATCCGGCTAAGAAGGGGTTTCTTCGAGAAAGGAATTGAGGAGTCATCTTTTCGAGGTGAGTGTAAAGGAGGTAAAATCTCTGTCGTAGGTCTTTTAGTTTCCGCTTTTCGTTCAAGTTATTATTTAGTTAACTTTTCTAGTATGCGCGATTTGTGTGTGAGGCATCTCACCGCCTGTAAGGGTGGAGGCACGCGTTGTGCTATGTATGCATGTATGTGATGTGGTATGAGGAAACCCCGGGCGGTTGGGCCACTACTGGACGCGGTAGATGGTCGGGTCACTGCTGGACGGCGAGACGTGACGCAGCAGTTGATCGAGTATGTTGGGGTCACTACTGGACGGCGAGACGTAACGCAGTAGTTGACGGGCATGGACTGGACGGCGAGACGTAACGCAGTGCCATTGCCGAGTTTGGGTATGCAACCGGACGGTGAGACGTAACGCGGTTTGCATACTAGGGTAGAACACCGGACGGCGAGACGTAACGCGGTGGTCCTAGAGTTTTGTGTCATAATAAGGATAGAAGTCGAGAACTTTTACGAGTTAATGTTGAAATGAGTTGATAAGTATGGTTATTTAAGAGCAGAAAGCGAGAACGGCTTTCATGCTAGGAAGGCATTCCCCTAATAATGTGTTTAGTAAGGAGTTTGCCTAGGGCAAAGACCTTAGGAAGTAACGATGAGACTGAACCCTTCTCACTCACCAAGTCGAGGAATGGTTAGCAGAGGCAGACTTCGAGAAGAGGCAAGGCGAGGCAAGTAGTTGCACCAGCATTGAGGAGAAGTTAAGGAACTCGTGAAGAGTCAGAGCTAGAATAGTTTAATTCCTTTGTTACATGGTTAGGAGTGTAAACTGGAGATTCTGAGTTCATTCATTTTAAGTATCGGGAATGACATTTGTCCAAGCGTTCAGGCTTTTTGTTTGAAATTCTTAAACATTGTCAGTTTAGTTTATTTAAAAAAGTGGTTTGGTTGCTCCGGAGTAACCGGTTTTCGGTTTGAGTTATGGTTTGGTTTTTTAAAAGAGACGGGACGTGACATGTAGCATCCAAGTGGCCTTCCCAATGCTCCATGTATTGGCAAGCGAATACCCCCACAGTCGTCATTACCTTTTTGTTGTGGTACGTCTGCAACATTGAACACTCATTCACTCAAGTTCGACTCCAGCAATACTCCCTTTCTCTCCAACAATGTCTGCACATAGTTGAACAAGTTCCTAAGTCTCCGGTTCATGAACATTCTTGGAATAACTTTCTGAATGCTTCATGCTGTCCAACAAGAACGTTTGTTGCTTGATGAAGTCCACAACATAAACCAATTAGTGGTCGTCCTCATATTTGGGAAAGAACATTTATTACATGATAATAAAACCCGATTTAGTATTCAGCATAAGAACAAGTAATATTCATAAAACCCATAATAGTATTAGAATTACCAAGACTCATATTCTAACCCATAAATAGTTCACTCACATAATTGCATCCTTCAAAGTCGGCAGTTTCAAATACTGGATCTCGATCAAGTGTGGCAAATTCCTCGTCCAGGAGACTTGCAGTTATTCTTGCCCCACTCCTAAAACTAGCATTTGCCTTGTCCTGTGACTGCATTAAAAACAATAACTTGTGAAGAAATTGAAGAGCGTGGTTAATCATGACATGCATTGAAAGCCTAATTTTACTTACAACAAAAATCATAGGGAAGATGCATTTTGTCAGCTTCCCATTCTTCGTGACATTCAGGTCGTTGAGGTAGTATCCAATTGCCTCAACAACGACAAGATTCGGCCATACAGTACGTTTCAAACTCAGCAAATGAAACCGGCACACCTTACACTTCACAGTCTCCACAAATTCCCAGAACTGTAAAAAGGACAGTATTTGACACACTTTTCTGAAAGCGCACGTGTAAATAATTAAATGAATATTGATTGGATAACACTTGAATACTTACTCCTTCTCATCTCTCGTACTAAGTGCGAACTCAACTATCGCCTTTTACAAAGGGTCCAACTTGCAAGTAACAGTGTTGGAGAGGACATAGCCGGATAATACTTCTAGCTTTGTCTTCGACCTCTCGAAGCACGAAGTTTTCATGTCCGTTCCCTTCCACTGTATGGCCGTAAGCTCCCCCTCGTCGCCTTCAATAAGAACCTTCACCATTGGTGGTGAAGAAGCAGTACTTGGAACGGGTTTTCTTCGCTGGTAAGTAACAGGAGCTGCCACGGGCACCGGAGCGGGCGTGACAGAGGGCATCTTCATGGACAACGGAGTGGGCTTCTCCACGGAAGCCGGAGTGGCCTTCTCCACGGACGCCGGAGATGGTGTCTCCACGAACACCGGAGTCGGCTCAACTGCCTCACCCTTGGAAGCCGGAATGGGCTCCACAGATGACGAAGGAGGCTCAACAAAAGGCGAAGGAACCTCCTCCATCGTCGGCTCCTCAATATCCTGCTCAGATGGCTTGTTCTTCTCAACCATTTTCTCAAGTATGTGGCCAATTTGTGTGGTCAACTCCAACCATCTTTTCCACTCATGAAGACACATACTACGACAAACCCTTAGCTAGAAAAAGACAGAAAATAAGTATTTAGGACATTGATAACACACTTTATTCAAATCTCATCCAAATAGTATTCGAAAAAGCATCAAAATAGTATTCAAACAAGAACGCTAAACATTCGTCCATCATCTTAACAAAGTACATGGAAATAGTATTTAAATTATTCAGACTACCCAAATCTCAATATCTATTACATCCAATTTCATGAAAGCTACTCATTCCTGTCCACATTGGGGCTCCATGCACGTTTCCAATCTTGCAAGTCGTGCCTTCCACTTATTGAACATGGACTCAGTCATGCACTTCAACACCTTAAGCTACAAGTATGTGTAAATTTTTTTAGTTCATGCAATCTACCTTACTCTAGTATGTTCAAAAAAAAGTAAAACATACCTGATCTTCGTCCATGTAAAACTCAGGAGCATCAAGAGCTTGTGTGCTGCTTTGCCCTTTATCTCCAGCAGAACCATCAAACCTCTGTCGACGCTATGCTCTAGTCATCAACAAACCTACTATCCCCCCACTTCCCATGGTATGGATGGCTTCAACAACCTTTATTTGACGATCCTTGAACCAGTAGCTACAGGTTGGGGTGATGGAGGTCCCAACACCTTTGACCTTCAAAATCTCCAACAGATGGACCTGCCAACCAAATAAGAGGAATATTGGGGAGAAAAAATAATATAAATGGCGAGACAAGATTGAAGTAATATTCAATCAACGCAGATCCATATTCATAGAACACACACAATAGTATTCATATCAGATTGAACTCATATTCAAAAAAACCAGAGTCATATTCTAAAAAAAACAGACTTATATTAAAAAAAACAGACTCATATTCAAACATGATAAAACTAATATTCATAACAATCACACATATTCGAAAACATAAATGAAAGAACAAATACTTAAAACTTACAACGAGGTAGTGGACATCTCCATTGACCCCAGTCAAGGAATGCCTTTCCTTCAACTGCAGCAAGACTACTCTTCAGTTCCGCTATAACAAGGTCGGACTAGTTGTAGCTTTTTACCCGCTCAATATTCCCAAAGAGGAACTCGACATAGTCAAGCTCACAATTCCGTGACCATGATGGTTGGAACAGCGAGGCAAGAGCAAGCAGCATGAACTACTTCACGGCCTTACAAAAAGGAGGCCTAGCATTCTCATCCGTTAACTTGTCCACCATATCACTCAGAGGAAAATTCCTGCACCTGTTTCCTCCCATCCCAATCTCGGCTTGAAAAGCCGACAACTTGGTTTTGTACAAGCACTTATCCAGCACTATTTCTTCCACAACGTGAGGAAGGCTATAAACACGAGCCACGTCCTCGTCCTCTAAGGGAAGCACCTTCCTATTCTCTCCCTCTCCGAAAATGAAGCTCCAAGAAATAGTATCGTAGTGTCGTGCCATTGCACACAACAGAGACTTATCGACGCCGCACAATCGTATCTCCAGCAATCCATCGAACCCCGCCTTCTTAAGCTCCTTCTCGCATTCCTCATAGTAGGCCTCATCCTTCTTCCAAAATTCAATAACACTCAACAATGATGATGTGTGACATCGATGCTGCGTTTCATGTGGTTTATTGCTCTTGCCTTTCCTAGCAGACTTCCCCACACCTTTCCCGGCAGACTCCCGGACAACTTTGCCGGCAGACTTCCCCCCAGCCGTCCCAACAGATTTCCATGTAGCTTTCCCAGAAGACTTTCCCTCAGACTTTCCAGAAGACTTCCCCCTAGACTTCCCAGCAGAAGTCTCACCAGACTTCCCTGCAGAGGTCTTACCAGACTTCCCAGCAGCAAACTTAACTCTTTTTGCAGAAGGAACAACTTCAGTTGCAGGAGGAACAACTTCAGCAACAGGAGGAACATCTTCAGCAGCAAGAGGAACATTGACTCACTTCTACTGTCACCCTAGGAATTGGCCAAGTGAAACCACTTCCTAAAGCGTAGTATAGCGGGTTAGGTTTATATGTCAACCCGGGTCCTAGATCTGATGACTACTCAGTGAATTCTTGTTATCTAGCAATGAAACTGGAATGCAAGTCTAAACTAACAAACTAACAAAGCAAGTAAATTGTTGTATTCAGGTTAAGAGAGGTCACCCGGATATGGTTCCCCCTAGACTGCAGTTAAGCCGGATTGTAATTACCAAGTTCAGTTTCTATGATAGTTATGCTGCGGAAGGTTCTTAAACAGCCTGAAGTCTCGACTAAAGGTCTTCAGACCCTCACAATCTGAATCTCTAGCGGGCGACTAACCTCCACCGGAGTAAACAGATTGAGGCCTTAACAAACAAAACCTCCACTACCGGAGTAAATCCGGTACAGAATAGTGAGTTGGCTCCTCGACTAAAGTCACCAACTCCCTACCTTCAATAAAGGATGCTCTATTAACTTAGGCAGATATTCTCATTCTAGGTTAAAGCAGAAACAACAGGAATTTGATCAGGATTCAAGTCATTCAATCATTCAAACCTCAATCGAATATAATCAAATCATAGAATCAGTACTTGGGTTCATACAATCAAAGCCTAACATACAAATCTAGGGTTCTCCATACCCAGATGAATGGGAGAACTACTCCATGGAGAAAGAAGCAAAAGCAGAATCAGACGCGGAATTCATACTGTGAAGGATGGATTCCTGCTCCTAGACGTTGATCGGCACTTCTCCAAGCTCAAACTGGCCTCCAATGGTGTTGAAGATCAATCTAGGGCACGTGGAGACTCTTGTTCGTCGCTTTCTCTCTCTAGGAATCGTTCTCTCTCTCAAAAACTCGAATCCCCTTCTGTTTGGCTGAAAATCTGCTTAAAAGGGCATCAGTGGCCAAAGCACGGTCGAGGGCACGGTCGTGTAATGCCTCAGCCCGCCCGTGCTTTGGCTAGTGTTAATTACACGGCCATGTGTTGGGAGAAACACGGTCGTGCTTTGGAGAGAACACGGCCGTGCTTTCAGCCCGTGTAATCAGCTCATGTTTGCCAAACTCGAATTAGCTCTCGGCAGTAAAAGCACGGCCACAGAACACGGCCGTGTTTTGGAGAGAACACGGCCGTGCTTTGGGAGAACACGGCCGTGTAATGCTTTAGGTGTGCCCGTGTTTTGGCTCCAGCTTGACGAAATGACTTCCGAATGCCCCGAAACTCGTGCTTAGCCTTCCCTTTGACGCCTGGGACCTGAAATATGAAAAAAGAGCACAACCCGGCGTAAAATAGGCCAAAAATACACGACTATGCCCCTCAAACGGATAAGAACTAGGGGCGCAAATTCGTGCAATTACATCGTTATCAACTTCCCCCACACTTAACCGTTTGCTTGTCCCCAAGCAAACCTAACTCAAACCAATGCAACTCTCCAGACCTCTATAGCAACAAACAACCCAGATCGTAGGTAGAGGACTTCCTAGATCATTTAGCAACTTACGAGGTCAACCGACGCACAAGTCATCTCATAGCTTCTTCGGCGAGAGCACTAGTATCGAGTCGGCATCATGGCAAATAGTGAACAGAGGACAAATGAATTGTGGATGAAGAGATTCTCAAAAACAAAAGATCATGGATTCACATTTTTCAAGGTGCTCTATATTCTTTGAAGATGGTTGGAACCCCTTTTCTTTCTGTTTTGCTTGTTTTCTGTTATTTTTTTCTTTTTTCAAGGGTCCCAACCGGCTCTTACCGGCCATGCCAGGAGCGGATGTCTCGAGCCTCGTGTGGGGGAAAGACATGTAATGGGGATGGAGGTAGTAGGTGGAAATTGGGAACGAATTCCCGTCTCCCCTTACACACTTTCCCCCTATTCGCATGGGAGACGTTATTTTGAAGCAAATTTCGAGCACCTGTTAAACTCAAAACATGATACAAGAGTCCATGACAGGTAGAGAGTCCACAACACCACACAACTCAAGGGTCATAAGATCACTAATTCACTCAATCAACCAACACAATATGAAGAAGAAATGAGACTTCTTAAATGCATCAACATCCTCCACAGTGCTACACTACCTCCCTAGGTTGCACATTACTATAAAGACTGTCAATTCAAAGCATACTGAGCAGGCAATTGCACGGAAACACGTACTTGGAGCCCTCGAATTTAAAAATTTGGACAGTGGACTAGACTCCAAGCACACAAACAGTTCTAATGCAGTCAAAAGATAAACATCCCCCCCACACTTAAGATCGACATTGCCCTCAATGGAGAAGAGGGAAGGGAAAGGGAAAGATGTTACCGATCTGCATCGTCGGTTGAAAGTGCTGAAGCAGGTAGTGGTTCCTCCTGTATGGCCGGGACAGGATCAGCAGATATGGTCTTACCGCTCCTGGTAAAATGGCATCCAGCTGCTGGAGCTGGTGAGGATCCCGAGGATTCGGGATAGTGGTGGCAGGCAGAGTCCCCGGCGCCCTGGTGGTGTTTTGGCGGGCCAAGATGCCCACCTCGGTCTGCAGATCTTGCAAAATGGCACCCTGGTTCCGCTGACCTGCCTGCAGTGACGTGATAGCTGCCTGAGTGCTAGTCATGAATGAAGCTAGAATATTTTCCAGCTTTGTCATCCGGTCATCTGGGGCAGGGGCTGCTGCTGGCTCGGCGAACTGGCGCTGGGGCTGCTGGAATGGTTGCCCCTGCCTAGGCTGGTAGGGCTGCTGCTGTGGGGCTGGCCCCTGTCGAGCCTTGAAGGGCTGCCTCTGCTGAAAACCACCTGCTGGTGCTGGGAAACCAGGTGGTTTAGTGGTGTTGCTGCTCCAGGCGAAGTTGGGATGCTGGCGCCACCCCTCATTATATGCAGTGTTATATTGGTCGAGGCGCCGAGCATTGGCAATGAAGTCCAACTGCTCTTGGGGAGTAGTAGACTCCCTCATGGCCTGGCAGTCCTCCACTAAGTGATTCGAGCTCTCACACCACTGACATTGAGCAACTGGAGGTGTAGCCAAACCTCTGCCCGGAATAAGACTGTTGGGCTGCTTCAATGTATGCACTAGCTCAGCTACCTGCTGCTCGAGCCCGGATCTGGTCTCCATGGCGTGCACACCACGGTCCCGAGAATGTCTGCCTCGGCTACCCTGTCCCCAAGAATGATCTCTGGCAGCCAAAGTACTGATCATCTGGTTCAGCTCGGGTGGAGTTTTAGTGAGAACATCCCCTCCTGGGCATAAAGACTCAATCACCCTCTGGCTATCTGGGGATAGAGCACTGTAGAAGTTCCCCACTGTGAATGCATCACTAAAGCCATGATGGGGACACTGCCAGAAGTATCCCATGTACCGCTCCCATGCATCACGAAGTGACTCATCTGGCTCTTGGCGGAAGTGAGTGATCTCCCGCTGTATCTCTGTAGTCTTCGATGCTGGATAGTACCTGTGCACGAATTTGTCAGCTAGATCGTCCCAAGAGGTGATGGACAATGGGGGCTGGGTCTCCAACCACCTCTTAGCATTCCCCGCCAGAGAATGGGGGAAGAGATGAAGGCGGATGGCATCATCCGGGACACCATTCAGCTTGAACCCGTTCGTCAGCTGCAGAAAACAGGAAAGATGCACCCTGGCCTCCTCATCCTTCAAGCCATGGAACTGGATAGAGGATGTGATTAGCTGAATCCAGCATGGCTTGATCTCGAAGTTATTTGCTGGAATAGGCGGGTAGAGGATGACCGGGCGGATGTCAGCAATCCGAGGAGTGTAGTAGTACTCCAAGGTGGGACCCGGCTGCGGTGGATGATGAACTCCATGATCCTGGGGTATGGGGTTGTTCCCCAGGACCTGATTCAACGGGGGAACCTGCTGTGGATTCCTCTGGTGCTGATTGTAGTCTCCGTCCATCCCGTACTCTTCTTCAGAATCACTACTCAGGTGGCCGTCTATGCGCTCTTCCGTAGCCAGTCTAGTTCGCTGTTGTCTCCGGAGCTGGCGACAGGTGCGGCCAATCTCTGGATTTAATGGCAGTAAACCTCCTGACTGGCTACGGGTCATGCACTACCTGCACACACTCAAGCAAGCAAACCCGTGAAGGCACAAGTGGGACAAAGCAAACAAAGCAAAAAGAAAAGCTAAATTAACAGAAATCACTTTTCTTCAACAACCTAGCCGTCCCCGGCAACGGCGCCAAAAACTTGACTCACTTCTACTGTCACCCTAGGAATTGGCCAAGTGAAACCACTTCCTAAAGCGTAGTATAGCGGGTTAGGTTTATATGTCAACCCGGGTCCTAGATCTGATGACTACTCAGTAAATTCTTGTTATCTAGCAATGAAACTGGAATGCAAGTCTAAACTAACAAACTAACAAAGCAAGTAAATTGTTGTATTCAGGTTAAGAGAGGTCACCCGGATATGGTTCCCCCTAGACTGCAGTTAAGCCGGATTGTAATTACCAAGTTCAGTTTCTATGATAGTTATGCTGCGGAAGGTTCTTAAACAGCCTAAAGTCTCGACTAAAGGTCTTCAGACCCTCTCAATCTGAATCTCTAGCGGGCGACTAACCTCCACCGGAGTAAACAGATTAAGGCCTTAACAAACAAAACCTCCACTACCGGAGTAAATCCGGTACAGAATAGTGAGTTGGCTCCTCGATTAAAGTCACCAACTCCCTACCTTCAATAAAGGATGCTCTATTAACTTAGGCAGATATTCTCATTCTAGGTTAAAGCAGAAACAACAGGAATTTGATCAGGATTCAAGTCATTCAATCATTCAAACCTCAATCGAATATAATCAAATCATAGAATCAGTACTTGGGTTCATACAATCAAAGCCTAACATACAAATCTAGGGTTCTCCATACCCAGATGAATGGGAGAACTACTCCATGGAGAAAGAAGCAAAAGCAGAATCAGACGCGGAATTCATACTGTGAAGGATGGATTCCTGCTCCTGGACGTTGATCGGCACTTCTCCAAGCTCAAACTGGCCTCCAATGGTGTTGAAGATCAATCTAGGGCACGTGGAGACTCTTATTCGTCGCTTTCTCTCTCTAGGAATCGTTCTCTCTCTCAAAAACTCGAATCCCCTTCTGTTTGGCTGAAAATCTGCTTAAAAGGGCTTCAGTGGCCAAAGCACGGTCGAGGGCACGGCCGTGTAATGCCTCAGCCCGCCCGTGCTTTGGCTAGTGTTAATTACACGGCCATGTGTTGGGAGAAACACGGCCGTGCTTTGGAGAGAACACGGTCGTGCTTTGGGAAAACACGGCCGTGATGCTTTCAGCTCATGTTTGCCAAACTCGAATTAGCTCTCGGCAATAAAAGCACGGCCACAGAACACAGCCGTGTTTTGGAGAGAACACGGCCGTGCTTTGGGAGAACACGGCCGTGTAATGCTTTAGGTGTGCCCGTGTTTTGGCTCCAGCTTGACGAAATGACTTCCGAATGCCCCGAAACTCGTGCTTAGCCTTCCCTTTGACGTCTGGGACCTGAAATATGACAAAAGAGCACAACCCGGCGTAAAATAGGCCAAAAATACACGACTATGCCCCTCAAACGGATAAGAACTAGGGGCGCAAATTCGTGCAATTACATCGTTATCAAACATCTTCAGCAGCATCAGGAGGATCTACTAAGGATCGTTTCATAGGTCCAGGAACACGCTTCTTAGTTCGCACCATTATTCCAAACCTGTAGACAAAAAACACATATATTCAGAAAAGGGGAACAAACACAACACAACGAATATTCAAAACCAGAAGAACATTATACAACTAATATTCAAACCCAGAAGAACTAGTATTCGTCAACAACACAGTCAACATTATACAACTAATATTCAAAACCAGAAGAACTAGTATTTGTCAACAACACAGTCAACATTGTACAACTAATATTCAAAACCACAAGAACTAGTATTCGTCAACAACACAGTCAACATTATACAACTAATATTCAAAACTAAAAGAACTAGTATTTGTCAACAACACATGCAACATTGTACAACTAATATTCAAAACTAGAAGAACTAGTATTAGTCAACAACACAGTCAACATTGTACAACTAATATTCAAAACCAGAAGAACTAGTATTCGTCAACTACAAAGTCAACATTACACAAGTCATTCAAGGGTATTCGTCAACTGCACAATCAACTAATATTTCAAACAAAAATAACCAGTATTCAACAGATTGAAGGTTAACAGGGAACAAGGAACACAAGAATCAACTAAAATGGACATATCTCGCCCAAAAACTTACTGATTCTAACCATATTTACTGATTCTAAGCAAGAACCAATTCTAAGCAAGAACCCAAAAACTTAGTCAACAAAAAATTGACATATATCTCGCCCACCCAAGACACATTATGAAGAATACCCTTGAGAATCGACTTGATTTTGAAGTTTTACCAAAAAACCCTAAACGTGTATTCAATAAACCCTAAACACCCAAGAATGAAGCAAAAAGGGGGATTTAAGGGAAAACCCCACACCTAGAAAGAAAATGATAGAGAGAATCGTCCTCACCGGAGCAAATACGCGAGAAAGGTCGGCCAAAATACCGAGACTCGAGGAAGGACGATTCGCTCTCGTCGAGGCTCTCCTGGTTATCGACTCCGCTGCTCGTCGGCTGAAGGAACCTCGTCGTCCTCGCTTTCCTTGTTCTGATGTCCTTCCTTCTCGTCGACAGTAGATCTGTGAGTTGGGCAGGGAGGTGTACTCTCTGGTTCGACGAGAGCAAAACAGAGAAAGAAAACGGAGAAAAAAGAAGAATAGAGAAAGAAAACACAGAGAGAAGGAAGAAGAGTGGAGGAGGAGCGCCGGTTGGAGGAGACAGTTTTTTTTTTCAATTTCAAATGCCCTCTTCCCGACCCCACCGCTTTTCCCTCCCTCCATTTTTTGGCTCGGCTGAGACGGCTTCACTTTTCCCCTTTCCTCTCTTACGCCCAGCTCGCTCAATCCTGGCCCTCCGTTGCTGGCTTGGGCGACGTGGCCCTCTCCCCGCCGTGTGAGTTGGTGCACACAAAACTTGGTGTGTGTACCATAGCGAAATTGGGAGAAGGTGTAAGGAGAGATCGTAACGAGCGCTCGAGCCCAGGAGCTCGTGTCTCCTACAATTGCCGCACTAGCCATGATTCTCCTCTTCAACCAACGGCCTTGTGCTGAAATTATGGTAGGACGGAGCTATAATCTTCTTCTGGTTGGGCACTGAATTGATCGGCAGTCTCGGAACCAGATAAAGCTTTAATCTCAAATGCTGAATGGCGCCACTGACGCTGAGAGATGTCATGGCTCGGTTCAGTTCAACCCGTCCACTAAACCCGACCCGGAAAACCCCGCCTGACCCGAATGGCAAAATTGCAGACTTCATCACTTTTAAGATTTCATAAGAAATGGGCTTGGATAAAACGACCCATCTTCAGGTCCAGTCCCATATCCCTTTTATCTTCAAACTTCAATTGTTTCTGCTCTTCTGCAATGTGAAGATCTTCATAGCTGTCTCGATACTCGAGTTCGAAGGAATATAGTTACAGTAGCAGGATTTATCGTGGTTGCCCTCCGGCCTCCACCAAGATCGCTGCATCTCTTTCCCGGTAAGTATCTTCTTCTGACTGAATACTTTGTACCCTTGTAGTGATTCCTTTAAGGGTTCTGATGACTCGATATTTGCACATGTTTTCCCCTTTGTTTCTTGATCGTTTAAGCTTGCATCATCGCTTCTTTGGCCTATTTATGCTAGGTTGTGTTCCTTTGTCACATTTCAGGTCCTAGCATGTAAATTGAAGCATAGTCGCAAGTTTGAAGTCAATCGGAGATCATTCGGCAATTCGGGAGAAGAAACACGAGCATGACCTGAGGAATAATGGAATTCTACCTCATATTATGGACAAATAAACATGGAATTTTGTTATGAAAAGAAAGAGAACGAAACTACGAGCGTCTGGGATCAAACGACGACTGATTCGGAGTCTGGACGAGGGAGAAACGAAGCATTAAACAGAGGCTGAGCAAGCCACACGGGCACACCTAAAAAACCCACACTGCCGTATGACCTGGCCATGTGGCCGTGTGGGATTTACCGAGCACTCACACGGGCATCCTGGGGAGCCACACGGCCGTGTGGCCCCTGCCCGTGTAGCTTGCCTGGTTGCCCATTAATCGAAACTCCGCGTTTTGGCACTCACACGGGCAACTGGGTAAGCCACACGGCCGTGTGGCCTGCCCGTGTGAGTTGGGAATTCTGGTTTTAAGCCAAATTTCGAGCAAAAGGAGAGGGAGAGCTTTGGCACCCAAGGGACGAACCCTAGAGAGAGAGAGCGACTTGGGAACATTCTTGGAGCTATTTTGGAGGATTTCTTCGCCATTGGAGCTCGGGAATCAAGCTTGGAGATGGAGATTGATCTAGATCAGATTTCTGCAGTCTCTCTCTCTCTTCTCTATGGAGTAACTTCCCTTCACTTAGGTTTTGAGGAACCCTAGTTCCATGTGTTAGGATCTTTCTTGTATGAAGTTTTGGATGCTATATTGTTTGATTATAATCGATTGAGGCATGATTTATTGAGTCAATTGAATCTTGATCAAATTCTCTTGATTTCTGCTTTAACCTATGATAGATAGAATCTGATTAGGTTAAGAGAGCTTCCTTGATTGATAGTGGTGAATTGGTTGTGCGAGAGTCAATCAATTCACTACTTTGTACTGGAATTCATTCCAGTAGTGGAGATCTGTGTGAATCGCCTTAGCAGTCTATCCCGGTGAAGGCTAGTCGCCTGCCGGGTATTCTGTCTAAGAGGGCTTAGTCAGCTTAAGAGATTCCAAGCTAATTTAGGATCTTCCGCAGTTTAATCAATAGTAGATCAACCAAAGGTAATTGCAACTTGGACCTAATTGAGGAGCTAGGGGGAATCATACCTAAGTGAGTTCCCAACTTGTAATTAGTAGAGTAGTTAGTAGAGTAGTTTATTAAATTAATTCTTAATCTAGTTTGCTAGATAATGAACTGAAGTTGAGTAATAATAACTCTAGAGACCCGTGGATTCGATATTTATTACTTGTGCCACTATACTGCAGTCCCTTTCATTGGTTACACTTGGCCATTGTTAGGTGTTGTGTCGTAGCGTGTCAGGTTCGGTTCATCTTCCTTATTCTCTGTATAGTTTGATTACTTCACCGATTCTTTGTTGTGCAACTTTGCATTGCCCATCAGTTGTTCGATGTTGTGTCCCCGGTTGTTTGATGAGGTGATCCTTCTCATAGTCGGGAGAAATCTATGGATTTCTTACCCAATTCGACTGTTGAGTGGATTAGATAATGATAGTTAGATGGGAGCTTGTGAATTGCTTGACGAAAGTGATGTGTTTTCGAGGAGAAATATTCCAATGATTCAATTGATTCTCTTTGGGTGAGCAGAACTTAAAATTTTCCGCTCTGTTCTTTGGCTTTCTTGTTTGTATTGCAGGCAGACATGAAAGGTCAGGACTTTCTGCACAAATGAATTTCCCCAAAAAATGAAGAAAGGAGCTCACCCGCAATTGCAGTGGATATCCTATGTCACCCAGAGCGACAGATTGATGAATATGATGATGACCAAAATACACAACACTTGCAAAGTTTACCACTTCAGAGCAAACCGACAGATGGCTGAAAGTCTGGGGAAAATTGCCAAGTTCAAACGTCGCTACGGTCATGAGAACGAGGAAGAAACAAAAAAATGAAGGAAGTATCTTTGAAGTCGGGAATCTGACAGTTTATGATTCTTGTTCTCTGTCAAGGGCCTGAAACAAATTTCACAAACCTGGCTTTTGATCATGACTGCAATAGAATTTCCTGTGTCTCTTTATTAGACTTAGGCTGTGGTGTCAGAAGATCACAGATGTTTCTAGGATTGTTAATTTTGCTTCACACAGATCATCTGAAAGCTCCAAAACCCCTCAAAATGTTTGTAGGGAGGTGGCATTCCCAACCCAGATATGAATTTTAAGTATCTTCTAATGCTCAAGGTTTTGTTGCTTGTCAATATTCTTTATAAGTTTGAGAAGAATCTCTTGTGCAAATTTATGAGATTTACATCGATACAAGTTGTACATCCATATTTTTCAACCATGACATGTTCCATGTGCTCCTCATCTGATTCATTGAAACTTCCTATGTCTGAGGATTAAGCTTCTTAAATCAGGCTTAAGATGCTTTCAAAACCCACAATTCCCTTGCGTGAATCTGAATGGGAACTGGAAAGGCAAGAGTTGGCATATCCTGGACAGTTTCCAGCGTAAAACATTGATAATGAAGTTATGAGGAGAGGAGCTTCTCATGTTTACCACATTCCTTGTTCTCTAGGGGAAAAAAGAAGAAAAAAAGGCTCCCAATTATAATAACATGATAATAAGATCACCACATTTCCTTACATGACACCCATGCAAGGAAAACATGAGTTTGCCTCGTACAAGCTTCCTCTACTCCTACAAATATACAACATAAATAAATTGTTTTGCAAAAGGTTGTGCATAGAACTTTCTCATTTTGGTTTTCTGGGATGTGCATCCAGTCAATATAACATGCAGTTGGAAAAATGCTCGAACAGCTGCTACCTTGTTCATGTCATTGGTGCTATTTGTGCTGGCAAATGGGGATTCAGCTTCCAAACGGAGAAGTACTACTACAACATATATGCACACTCATCACTATGGCTGAAGAAAGTGAGAAACCATGGTCAGCAGCCTCGAGACCCCGGCTGCTCAAGAGCGCCATGGATGTGCATAGATCAGTAGGGTATCAATCATCACGACCCACTTGGACGGCGGATGCAGTGTTGCAGGAACCAGTGTGTCGATGTGTCTTCTGATGTCAACAACTGCGGCAGGTGTGGGATCAGATGCCCTTTCACATGGCAATGTTGTGGTGTATTATGTGCCAACACCAACGTTAGTCCGTTCAACTGCGGGAAGTGCTTTAACAGATGCCCATGGGGAGTTCAATGTGTTTTCGGTATGTGTGGTTATGGTGGTGATCAGCCACAACCATGGCCTCGCCCTTGGCCAAGACCACCGTTTCCTTTTCCACTAAGGCCACCAGAACCATGGCCTCGTCTGTGGCCTCAACCGTCGTTTCCCTTCCCTCCTAGGCCACCACACCAATGGTCGCCAGATCCACCCGCTGACCATAGTAGCTAGAAGGTATGCCTGGTCTATCTTTTAAGACACATCATCAAAATTGCAACCCAAAATAGCTAGTTAAAGCACAACTTCTCTTTCTATGTCAATTCGTGATGAACAAGGTTATCAGTTTCTCAACTAGGTTAGCTGGCTTGTTTCTTCTGGTTTTATAGTTGCAGCGACAAAAAATACAAAGCAAAGCATCTTTATTTGCTTTCCTTGTCTGCTTAGGTTTTTGTCGACAAAGTACTACATTTTAAAGTAAAGTTTTTTTTATACAAAAGATAATCATATATTGATTGGAAAGAAGATAGTTACACCCTGGAATTCAGCCAGGTCTGGAAATCAAAGAAATGACTCCCAGTCGGGTACAATGAAAGGGTCTTTCTAGCCACCAAATGAGCTACCTATTATAATGCCGACCTACAAATCTAACACTGGACCCAGAGTGGGTGTCAAAATAATGCACAACTTCTTCTAAGACAGCACCCATCCGGTTATCACTGATATCTGCCTGGATGATTTTATCAATGACTACCTTGGCATCCCCTTCAAATTTGACGTCCGAAAACCCATGAGCCCGACACCAGCAAATCGCCTCACGGAGGACTAGCAATTCTACGACCCCAGGATCATCAATGCCCGAAAACTGAACTCCCTCTGCCAAAATGAGTTGCCTAGCCGAATTCAAAATAACCATCCCACCAGCCGCATAAGACACCCTCTTAGTTGCCCCATCCCACATGCACACAACCAAAGAAGGCCCGACCGGACCCAGCGGTTGGACCATCGGGGAAGAAGACAGAGGAGCAGGGTCGATAGGAAATCTTAACCATTCCACATATTGTTGATGAAACTGGCACATCAAGGCCGGAATCCCAAACTGTTTGCCTTCAAAGAAAACCCAGTTGCGCTATCGCAAGATTCGCCAGAGGATGGCAACAATCGCCAAAAACAGTTCAGGCTGATGAACCAAAGCCA